CAGGCAGTGGAGCTGCCCTCTCCCAGCCCCGCGTTACTGACGGCCCCCACTGCCCCTTTCTCACGACCTGAATTTTCCTGCTGTGTGTCCTTTCTTGTGCCAGACCCTCCAGTTTCCATTGCTGTGGCCATAACCAGTCCTGACAGCTGGCAAGGCGAGTCCCTTCTCTCTGTTTTCTTCACACACTCGTCTTGGCTCTTGCAGAATTATCCTTCAGGCTGAATTTTGGAAACAGTTGGTCGAGTTCTGAGAAAATGACCGTGTGTGTTGATGGGAGCTCATTAACTTGCCCCTTTGTCTGGGGAGTGGACTCTTGAGCCATTGGGAGCGTGACCTCCTCCTCCAGTGAGTGACAGCTTCCAGCCCGTCTATCAGGACCGATGTGTGGTCTCTCCAAATGGTCCTGAGGTCTGTGGCGAGTGGAGCTCCGTGTCCTTGGGTTTGCGCAGCTGCTGTAAGCAGGATCTTCCCATGATGCTTTGCTCCTGGTCTGTGTGATGCTCAGATCTGGCTGTGTTCTTAGATGCTCTCATTTGTTCCACTAGTTGCTCAGTGGATTCTCTTGGGTTTTCTAGCTAAATGATTATTCCAGCTGCAGACAGAGCCCATTTCTTCCTTCTCAGTGCCCATTGTTCTCCTTCTTTCCTTGGTCTCGGTGCATAGGCCAGGCATCCCGTCATGGCGGGTAGACCTGTGTTCCCACCTCCAGTATTTCACCAGAGGTTTGCTATTTGCCTGGATTTCTTGGAGATTCCTCTTGTTGTTGTTAATCAAATTAAGAATGTTTCCCTCGATACATAATTTATTAATAGGTTTTGAATCTTAACAAGTCCTTTTTCTATATCTATTAACATGATCATGTGGATTTTCTCCTTTAATTTCTCAGTATAATGAAGTACATTGCATCTTTTTTTAGATAAATCCTATTCGATTTGGCAGCGTGGTGTTGTTTTAATACACTACTGGATTCCATCTGCTAACAGTTTTTTCAGGATTTTTGCACTTAGAGTCATGAGGGAGATTGCCTAATACCTACATTGGTGCTGTCCGCATCTGGTTGGGTGATGGGATCAGGCCAGCCTTGGACAATGAGCAGAGTAGCTTTCATTTCTTCCTGTGCTTTGGTACAGTTTGACTGAGGTGGCAGAACTTGCTATAAAACCGTCGGGGCCTGGTGCCTTTGGCAGGAGAAGCAGTCTTTGACCATTTTACCTTCCTTCAGTCCTGCTGGTGGACTCCTTGACCACCAAGGGGACAGATGTGGAAGGGACAGAGAAGCATAAATCCCTGGCTCTCGCAGGGGTTCCCCTCTGCCACCCAAAGGCAGTGCAGCCTGGTGGTAAACAGGATGGTTGAGCATCAGGCTGACCTGGCCTCCTACCTGGGCAGGCCTCTTCCTAAGCTGAGGGACCTCCATGAAGCTCCTGAGGCTCCGTGAGCCCACGAGTCCTCGTGTCACATTAGGGAGAGGGAGTCTTGGCTCCGTGCCACCACCCCACAGTCCTGGTGCCCGGCACACAGCCAGCAGTTGGCACTCCCCCAGGGATCTCCCTCCTGTGTGGTTCACGGGTCAGGGCCCAGGACCATGTGCACACAAACTGCTGGGTGGGGCTCCCGTTGTGTGTGCCAAGTGTGGATTTCCTTCTCATCCTTGGCCTCTCTGGCTGGATCCCATAGGTCGGCATCTGGAATCTGAGCTCCCCAAAGGGGCCTCCAGCTGACCTGGGAGGGCGTGATGGGGAGCTGGCCATCCCAGGGACCTGATGCTGGGGTCAGAGTCTTTGTCCACCAGAACTCAGCCAGACTGTGGCCAGCTAGCCCCAGATTAAAACTGACGTAAATTAAGCACTCATGTGCCACGTTATGATGAAGGGCTCACATTCACTATCTTGTTATGTCTTTACAATCACTCCGTAAGGACAGAGGGCTATTCATTTACAGATGTGGAAACAGGCTCAGAGCAGTGAAGTGACTTTCCTGGGGCTGCCCAGCATGGACTCATGGGGTGGGGCCAAGCCACACTCGAGTCATCAGGACCCTTGGCTGCCCCCTAGACCTGGTGGGTTTGTGCCAATGGGCCCCAAGAGTCCCCAAGAGGAGCAGGGGCTCCCTTGGCCTTGTCTGGGAGGAGGGCTGCTCCGCCCTGGCTCCAGGGGCAGCAAGTCCCCCAGGTGGGGCTCCATGCTATGTCCTGTGGGTGAGTGAAGGCCAGGGAGATGGACGCCTTCCTTAAGCCACCAAAGCACTGAATTCGTGTAGAAATCGGCAATTCTTTGGTGCAACTGTTCACACAGAAGATGAAAAGATAACGGGTGTGGTCTCGGGGGTCCCAGTCTCCCTCCCGGACCCCTCGGGTCAGCAGGAAGGAGGGGATGGGAAGGAAGGCGAGGAGGCAGAGACTGCGAGGTGGCCCCCACGTCCAGGCAGCTGTGCCAGGATCGTGTTCTCACCGCTTACGGACCATCTCAGCTTCTGCGGGGACGGGACCCCCGACTCCCGCGTGTCCTAGAGCTCTCAGTGACGCAGTCCTTCAGGCTCAGGAAGAGGCCTCAGCCAGACCCCAGCAACTCAGGGAGCAGCTGCTCGGCCATGTCCCTCCTACAACGGGCACCTTTCCAGGAGACCCCGGGGCCCCTGGCCCTTGGCCAGCACAACAAACAGGCAGGTTCCCGTGGGCTTTCGGCTCTGCTGGGGGAACGAGGCAGGATGCCAGGAGGTCAGTGGGGCGTCTCTTCAGACCCTGTGCTCACAAGAGTGTCCAGGGTCTCAGCAGTGCCGTGAGAGGGGAGGGGCAGCTTACCCATGTCACCCGCCCCAGACCATGTCTCGGGTACAGAGGGCCAGGCCTCCCGACTCCTGGTGCATTCCTTCCTCCCCTGTCTCCCTAAAGCAAACAGAACTCCCCCCCCGAGCTCCTCCACGGGCCCTGTCACGTCCAGCCTTGAGGACCGGAGAGAAAACCCAAGGCAGCTGGAAATGGGAGGGGGTCGGAGGCAGCCAGGCCTGGGGAGCCGGCCATCTCTTGAGCTTCTGCCTTTGAAAGAGGCTTTCAGCAAGAAAGGGGCAAAACCAAGGAAATACAGCCCCCCACCTCTGGCCATGTGCTTCCCCGGCCTGCCCGCGCCTCCCCCGGCCCAGCCAGTTTGTGACTCAGGAAAAACATGCAGCCACGCCGATGCAATTAGGAAAATGTTATTTTTCAAACGCTGCCAGATCCTGGGGGCTGACCCTGTGACCTGGGAAAACAGCGTGCGTTCATGCTGGATCCGCGCCTGCCACTTGCAGCTTCGGCCTGGGACAGTCTTTGAGCAGCTTCCGACGGCTGTAGGATAGGGGTGCCGACACTTGCCTGCTGCTCGTCCAGGGGGGTGGGGGGCATGGGACGGGCCCCGGGTGGAGGCTCAGGGAATGTGCCTGCCCTTCCTGGCGTGAGGAAGAGAAGGGTTTTGTAGCGCCTGCCTGCCCACAAGCGTGGACCTCGTGCTTCAGGTGAGTGGCCCTCTGCTTCCGGCCTCTGGGCACAGCCTGCCCTCGATGTCCCAGCACGGGAGCTGAGTGTGGTCAGCTGACAGCTACACCTGCCCGAGGCGAGCCAGGCTCCCCCACCCTCCTGCTGCCCTCCCGCCAGTCACACAACCTTAGGGATCGGGCCTGATGGGATAGAGAACTCCCTCTCCCCCAGCCCGTTCTGCCCTCCCTGGAGCAACTTGGAAAGGGCCCAGGAGGCCCTTTCCCAGGTCCACACACACTAAAGAGTCACAGCTGGTGTGCTGCCCTCCTGCTGGTCTTGGCTCTTAGAGGAGGCAGGTGAGGGTGACACTCAGCCCGGCGGGCAGAGGCTGCAGGGGGAGAATTCCTGCCTCCTCACAAGCATCCACCATGGGCTCTCTGAGGGCCTGTACCAGTGGGCAGCCTGGGGCTGGACTCACCTGGAAGGTCAGGTGGATGCCAGGGGACCAGGAGTCCAGGGTGCAGGTTGGGGTCCTGAGGCCTGGGGTCTGACCTGAGTCTCCCTCTTGCACCGATGGCCCAGGCCTCCATTTGCCCATCTGTGCTGTGGAGATGAGTGTCCCCACGGCATCCAGTTAATGGATGTGCAGCTGCCCTGCAGGGTCAGGTGCCGCCGTGCTGTGCCGGGGCTCGAGGAATGGCTATTGATACTCTGATTTGGAGGGCAGGGAGGTCCTGGCTGATGCCCTGCCCAGAGAGCTTAAAGGCTGCTGCCCCAGGAGGCTGGGAACCAGGATCCTGTGGGCAGCTCTGCTGGCCCCTGCCCCCACTTGCTGCATGTGGGTAGCTGCAGCCAAAACTCACTTCGATGTGGGCATGTGGGTGAGAAAGGCGCAGGAGCCCCAGAAGACAAATGCTTGCACCCCAAAAGGCTGCAGACCACCAAGGACCCTCCTGGTTTGCCTGGTCTGGCCCCATCCCCCTGCTCGGGCACTGCCAGGCCTCTTTAACTCAGGTGATTGGGATGAGGGTCTCTGTGGCCCCAGAGTCCTGGTGATGCTGACAATGGCAGCTTGGGGCCCTGGGGGATCCTGCCTTTCCCCACAGGCACCCGTCCCAGGTTCTGATCTGACCTGAGCTGCTTGGACCCCAGGAGGCTGCAGACAAGGGCCTCTTCTTAAGCCTCCTGGTCATTCCCCCAGCCACCCAGTGGCCTCCTCCCAGGGTCTGAGAGGAGGTCTTTGGGGTGGAGGTGGGTGTTGTGGACCCTGAAGAAGGCTGAGCAGCCAGCCCTGGCAAAGGCTGTGTGTAGGGGGAGCTGGGAGGGCTTGCATGGCCCTGGTGGGAGTCCAGGGGGGCTGCCAGTGCCTGCCCCTGAGCTGGCAGTAACAAATCTCCCCGGGCCCTGGAGGCGCGTTGGAGGGAGCCCGGTCCGGCCAGCCGGGGCGGAGGCGGCAGGTGCGGGGGCGGCGGTGGCCACAGGCGGGGCTGCGCGGGTGGGCGGGGGGCTGCCCGTCCTGGCGCGGGCGCAGGCTGAGGGGGCGCTGTGCCCGCAGGCAGCCGGGCGCCGGGGACGGCGTGCTCCTGGACACCGCCAGCCTCAAGATGAGCGACCTGGACTCGGAGGTGCTGCCCTTGCCCCCGCGGTACCGCTTCCGGGACCTGCTGCTGGGCGACCAGTCCTTCCAGACCGACGACAGGTAGGTGGGGGGGGGGGAGGTTGGGGTCCGCGCGCCCCCAGGCCGCGCGCTCGGAGCTGTCCGCCGTGCTGAAGGCCGTCCGCGCGCCCGCGCCCTTCAACTTTCCCGGGGGCGGGAGAAGTTCCGCTTGAGGGTGGAAGAACGGGAAGCATTTTCTCGGGAGGGGGCCTGGAGGATGGGGTGGGATGCTCTGTGCTGGAGAGTCTCCCCAGAGACCGATTCCCGGGGCCTGGCCTCCCGTCTGCTCCCAGCCCTCCAGACCCGCTGGCAGCTCTGCTGATTTTGGGGATAAGCCAGAGCTGGAAGCACTGCGATGGCAGAGCCCATCAGTCTGGCTGAGAGCTGGTATGCTCCAGACTCTGGCTGTGGTCATTTATAATTAATTGAGGGACAGTGTCCTTCAAGCTTGTGCCATGGTCACTTATTGAGGGTGACAACATTCCCTCACCTCGTATTCTCCTGGGCAGAAAAAAGCAAAATGAACTTGAGTCTTTCGGTAAAGGACTGGCAAAATGAGCCCTTGGGAATAATTCATACGCTGAGGGGGCTGGCAGGAAGCTGGGAGAAATGTTGCTTTTCTCTGCCTTTTCCCCAAATAGCTGTCTTGGGTAAACACCCAGCACTTTAGCTCTGTCAGCCTCAGGGGAGGCATGAAGGCGAGTGCTGAGGACTCACGCGGGGCTTCAGATCCCAAACACTTTCCTTGCAGAGTGTGGTGGGGGGGCAGCCAGAGCCATCGGTGTCTGTAGTCTCCTTCCCCGCCCAGCCTGGACTGGGTGAGCGAATCTGCTTTTTCCCCCAACAGTGCAATTATTCAAGTCAGCACATAAAGTACATGAGTTTGAAGATTGTCAGGACACAAACTGAGCTCTCAGAATAATCCACTGCTGATGCAGCTGGGAAAAAAGTCATGTTTGTGAATAAGGGCAGTATGTAGGGGCTGTGTGTATGAGGAGCTGCTAGAGCTTGTGGAGAGGGACTTTAAAATCTGTCTGCCTGCTGGAAACAGAATAACCTACCAGGCCTCACATGACGTTCAATTGCCATCTCAAAGTAGAATCAGGAGGAGAGATTGAACCCAAAGTCTTCATCTGCGTAGAATCGAGGGTGGAGTCCAGCAGAGAGGCTTTCTAAACGGGATGTTGTTTTGTCTGGTTGGGCTGGGTGCTGTACTAATAAACAAACCCACCCAAGAACACCTGCCCCAGGTGAAGAGTTTAGTTCAGCCCCCTGCGTGGGTGGAGGTGGGAGAGGACGGGCAGGTCCTGGCATGTGGACACGGTAGGGGGCTCTCCTGCCCTCCTGGAACTTGGGGCAGGGTTGGGGGCTTCCCTAAGCTGAAGCTGTGTGCTCAGCATCTTCCTAAGTCAGCACCAGCCCCTCGGTGCCTACTCCCCTGGAATGTGGCTAATTCTCAAAAACAGCACCAGAGATTCGTCCGATATTGGGCAGGAAACGGCGTCCATCTCCCCGAGTGGCCCAGGACCTCCAGCTGCCTCAACAGATGCCAGTGACTGCGGTTGATGTAGTTGGAGTGACATGTCCTCAGTTGTCAGGAGGGGATGGCAGTGTCTTCACTGTCGGCCAGAGGGTGACGTGGGCCTGCTAGGGGGAGCTCTCCCCTTCCCCTGGGGAGTGGGGAGCTGGCCCTGACTCCTCCACGGGTCCTGAACCCTGTGGTCTGGAGCTTCCTATTGTGGTAAAATATACAGAACATGAGACGTGCGGCTAGCGACAGTTAGGGCATTGACAACATCGTGCATCGTCACCACCGTCCCGTCCTAGAGCATTCCAGACCCCATGCCCATCAGCAGTGACTCCCCACTGCACCCCAGCCCCAGTTCCTGGCAACCCCAGTCTCCATTCTGCTCGACCTTGTTTTCGGGGGGAAAGTCTCCTGTGTGCCGGGCCCAGGGGCCTCAGGGCTCTGTGCGGATGGTGTTCAGAGGTGGGCTGTGTATGTGTGTGCACGTATGTGCACACGTGTGTGTGTGTGTGTGTGTGTGAATCCTTCAAAGGAAAGACCCCCGTGGTCCCCAGGCGTGGAGACACTGCACTGGTGTCTACAGGACTGACCGGCCCTAGGGCATGTCAGTGGGAAGGAAGGGAGCTTGACCCTGCCAGGCTGTTTGGGAAGGATCCCCCTTCTAGCCCTAGAGAGGAGGTGCAGGGCCTGGTGGAGGTGGCTGGCCCTCAGAGTGTCCAGGGACTCACAGGTTGGGAGAGGGCTACTGGTTTGCACGTTTCCAGCCAGTTTCCAGGTGATTCTGCCCCTGCACCGCATGGGGGCTGGAGGGGAGCCTGTGAGGCACAGTGCTGGCTGCACCAGGTACCAGGGGCCAAGCAGGCAGCCTTGGGGGTGGGACATGAGGCGTGAGTGAGGTGGGGGCCTGGAGGGGACCATGGGGGCCTGGAGGGGACCTGGAGGGGACCGTGGGGGCTTCTTGGGAGCTGGAAGGGGCCATGGGGGCTTCTTGGGGGCTGGAGGGGGCCGTGGGAGCTTCTTGGGGGCCTGGAGGGGGCCGCGGGGGCCTGGAGGGAGTCTCTCCTCCACTCACTGCCAGCTGCTGTCAGTAAACAACACAGGGAGCCCCATCAGAAGAGTTTCTCTTTTCTCGAACCTTCTTTGCCCAAAAGCAGCTGCTGCAGCATCTGTAGCAGGGCCAGCGAGTCTGGCCTGGCCCCTCTCATGAGCCCCCAGACTCTGGAATGTCCCCTCGTGCTCACAGGCTGTGCTCCCAGGTCTCGTGGGGCAGGCAGTACAGGGAACCTGGATGGGGTTCCTGGGGGTCCTGAGATCCCCTAAGCCCCGTCCATAAGGATGCACACGTGGAGGCCCCGGCCGGGCTCTGAGCTGACACCCAAGCTCAGGGGAGGAGGGGACAGGGGTGTGGCCATGGGAGGCCCCCTCGTGGGTGCCTGTGACACAGCCCCTAGAGCCCCCGTGTCCCTCATCCCCTCAGTGAGTCTCAAAGTGGAGGGTGGGGGGCAGGCTTCACTTCGCCTGTCAGGACCCCCCTGCGTGTATGGAGATGGGGTGAGGGAGGGGGAGCAGGCTCTGGGTCTGAGAGGCAGTGGGGCACCAGGAGGTTTGAGGCTGGGAAGACGTGCTTGCCCCCCAGCAGGCCCCATGTGCACTCAGGGGGGCTTGGGAGCTCACGTGGGCTTGGAGTGCCTTGGGGATGGTCCCACAGAGTCCTGGGGGGGATCCTGGGGTGGGGTCCTGGGGCTGCCAGCTGACGGGCTGGTGGCCTGGATGAAGTGGCCCGGTCAGGGGGCAACTCGGGTCCGGGAGATGAGCCGTGCTTGCGGGCCCTCTGCACACGAGGGGCGGGGGCACGGGGACACCCCCCCACCGGCACAGGGCTGGCTCCCTGCCCCCACACACCCTCCACCACAGTCATCTGGATTCCTGCTGCTAGAATCCTTTCCTTCCTCCCGGTTCTCCACCCGCCCTGCTCACAGGCTCCGGGGCCGGCTCTGCGGGGTGAGTGGGGCTGTTGCTGCCCCGCTGCTGGCAGGCAGTGAGCGGTGAGCGGGCGGGCAGGGCTGCGGCTTCCTGTTCTCCAGGGGAGTGAAGCCACAAGGAGTGAGTCACCTCGGCCTCACACACTGTGGCCTTGGGGGAGGGGGCGGCTGGGCCCACGTGGGCAGAGGAGGCTGCACCGCTCCCACCAGCCTCTCCCAGGGGCCGCCAGGCGGGGGAGGCAGGCAGAGGTGGAGCTCGCACACCTTCCTGGGGGCAGCCGAGGTTCTGGAAGGACCCTCACCACTGCCCGCGGGGCTGGGTCTGAACAGGAGTGGGGGGACAGGGCTCTCAGCAGAAGTGCACTTGGACCCCCAAGGCCTGGGGTTCAGGGCTCCCTGCCCCATCCTAGGATGGCTCACTGCCCCTCTGCCCCAGGAGCCCAGACCCCTCCCTGTCTGAAGCTGCCCCTCCAGCGCCTGGAAACCTGAGCACGGGGCATCAGGGCCCTGGGACACAGACGGGGGTGTGAGTGCCTCGGCTCGAGGGCTGCAGGCCCCAGCCAGGCTGTGAGCCCTCCTTCTGCAGGGGGCAATGACAGCCCTTATCCCTGCAAAGCGCGGCTGTGATGAGGCAGCGACGCGGGGTGGGAAAGGTCTTCGTAGATAGGGGCTTTGGTCATTATAAGTGTTCCTCCACCTCCTGGTCTGTAACATGGACATGAGGCTTCAGCCCTGCCCACCCCCAGGCTTAGGAAGATGCTTCGTGGGGGCAGAGGGGCGGGCTCTGAGGTGCAGGGGGACACAGGGGCTGTCACACCACAGACTCGTCCCCCACAAGGGGCAGAATCGCCAAAAGGCTGAGGTAGGGAGAGCCACCGGTGAGGAGCAAGGGCCTGGCAGGCGGCCGCCTCCTGGCTGGCATGCCCAGGACCAGCTGCCTTCCACAGCTGCCTGCCCGGCCAGGGCGCAGCCCAGCAGGGTCCCGAAGCCACTGCTGGAGGCCATGTTGGGATCTGCACCCTCCCTTCCCTCCCAGGCATCTGAGTGGAGGATGGGCGGCCGTGGCAAGAAGCATCCAGGCCCTGGGGGCGGTGGCTGGTTTGCTGCGGGAAGGACGGGGAGGGAGGCCAGGCCTCCAGGGGTGAGAAGGCTGCCCCAAAGGGCCCCATTCGGCTGTTTGCCTTAGACCCTCTGGCAACAGAGGACGGCGCTTGACTTGTTTCTCTGGAGTTGAGCAACACCAAATATTGTTTCACACAGCAGGCGAAGGAGAGGGAAGGCAGGCAGACCGCGTTGCCAGGAGTGTGGGGGGAGCCATGAGGACAGACCCCTGCCCTGGCCCGCCTTGCCCTGCCCTGCCTTGCGGGAGCAACTATTGAAGCCATGGCCCCCGGGCAGGGGCTCCTTCTCTACTCTCATCCAGCAGGGACCCTCCCATTTGGGCCTGGGTGCAGGGAGGAGCAGGCGGGGCTCAGAGGGGCTGGAGTCTCTGCAGGAGGCGTGCCCTTCCCAGTGCCCCACCCCCAGCCCAC